TGTACCTCTGTTTCCTCACACAGTATTTATTAATTTCTGTTTGTTGCTTCTCCTACGATGGCCCACATTTTTTCCTTCCATAGTAACTGTTTTGAAGTCATTTCCATCTCTGTGCCTATTGTCATCAAAGCACGTAAGTTTGCAGTTGATGATTTCCAACAATAGAGTCCCCTGCTCTCCAATATTCTAATATATGCACTTATTTTATTTTCTGTCCAGGAGATATAAAAAGTCATTTCAAGGCCAGCCTTATGGGTGGGCAACATAGGTGACTGCCCAGGGTGCCATGATCGCGGGGTGTCACACATGTGCACACATGTGAGCAGCGCACACTCACAGCAGTGCTTTCCCCCTACCCTAAAATGGCCAATCCCTGCCTCAGCCAGGAGGAGCAGTGCCCAGCCCAGCCCATCCCCTTCCCCAGCCCCTCCACCTCCAGCTGCTGCTCAGGAGGAGCCAGGCCAGGGACATCCTGGCAGGGTGGTACCTGCTCCAGTCCGCCCACCACCTTTCTCCTGCACAGCAGCAGCCATGTTTGCCTGCAGGGAAGCTAGTCTCCTGATCCAGCCCAGGAGCTACCCCCAGAGCTTTATTTCTGAAACTGCCACTAATACAACTACATACTTAAACTCAAAGAAAGGGCACCAAAAAGACAAGTTTGCCCAGGGCGCCATTTTCCCTAAACTCAGTCCTGCGTAATTTTATGTAATAACTAACGTGAAGGAAGCACTGAGACCAAGGGCCAAAACTCATGGCTCCTAGCGTGCGCTGTCCATTACACCACAGTCAGTTCCCCTTTCATTTACTTTCCTTCTGGCTCAATTAATCTTTTTACTCTTGGCTGCCTAGTGAGCCTGCTTCAATAGAAGGGGGACAGAATGTGCTCTCAGCTATACCTGCCCCAGAGCTTGATGGGTAAGGACCTCTTCTGGGACATATTAGATGTTAACTATGGCTGCTCCAAAGCCTCATGATTAGGGCAATTTACCAGAAAGGGCAGGTTCAAAAGAAGCTGAGGTAGAAATTGGCTCAAGAGACACTGTCAGTACATCATCACAGAGTGAAGCCTGAATCAACACTGCCACCATGCCTGACATGTAGTTGGCATAAAACAGCAAAGAAACACACGAAGTCATGTCTGCCTTTTGTTAAGAAGATAATATGATACAAATATGGTATGAATATTATTTTGTCTTTGCCTATGGATGGTGTGTGTTCTTGATGAAAAAGAGAAGTGAGGGACTTGACAAAAAGCCTTAAAAATAAAGGATTTTTTGTGTTGGAAATAAGAAAAAAATCGTTAGAAAGAAAGCATTAAGGAGTCCATGTAGTGGGTTCCTTGTGGCCATAGACCTCATTTGCCATAACTAGTCTGTCTTCATAATAGCCACAAGAATAATGGACACATGACTCAAAATTTGTATCCCTAACATTGCAATAGTGCTGGGCTACTCCAGGTTGGTAGGCTTGAATTATAGTATTACTATTAATAAATTGCATAACAATCTCGTGGATTATTGCCTCTACAGCTGACAGTCATTCACCTTTGACCAGACTTGAACAGCGTCTGTAGGCCTTTCTCCTATGAATTTGTGAACTTCCTTGATAATGAGGGAAATTTGGTATATGGGATTGTCGTAATGAGTCCCTCATTTTGCTCCCAACCCATCTGGTAGTAGATATGTTGTTATACTAAGGCAAAGGGGTGGGACATGGGGAATAGGCAAATTTGTTCTGTTAGATTTCCTAGAAGAGCATGCTGATGTAAAGAGTTCTGTTTTTCTCCTATCTCTGATTGCTTTCCCTCTAGGATCTCCCCTGTTGCATCTCATTTCACAGATTTGTGTCAACTAGTCCTGACATTTTCAAAACTGCATTTGGATTGGATTATTATATCATTTCCTTAATACAGCCAGGACAAAGTGAGGAGTCAGCAATATCAAATATTACCAATTCAGAGAGCTTGCTCCAACTTTTATGAAGGTAGGCCAGCTCCTAACATCTTTCTTTTCTTTTCTTTTCCTTCCCTTCCCCATGAACCTTGTCATTTTCTTCCTTTTCCCTCACTACATTTGGGTAGTTTAATCTATTGTTAGTTTATGTATGCCACAAGTTCATCTGTAATAGCCAGGTTTCACCACTTGTGATCTGCCACATATCATAGTCCAGTGGTTCACCCCAGAGTGCCACAGCATCCAGGCTGATAGTCACAGCCATAGAATCCTAGAAAACTAGGAATGGAAGGGACTGCAGGAGGTCACCTAATCCTACCCCCTGCTCAAGGCAGGATAATCTTTATCCACAAGATCTTATGCAAATGTATGGCTAACCTATTCTTAAAACTGCGCAAACAGCCCTCTCACACAACAACCAGGTATATTGCCCAAACATATCAAAACACCCTAACTTGCTGCAGATGAAGTATGACATGGGAGTTGCCAATGTCCTGCCACTGCAAGGACAAGTAGCAGTGTATTAAATGTGCTCAAGTAGTCCAAAGAACAAAACCATGTCCAACCAAGGCAACCCCCCTCCCACCTCAGCCTATGCCAGATGTACTGTGGACTGTGTGCACAGATTATATATATCAGGGAATTCAAGGTGTTCTGCTGCCAACAGAAACCCAAGACAAAAAAAAAGATATAAAAAAAGAGAAGTTAGGTGCAATTAAAGATTGATTATTGTGGCCATATCCATATAACAAACTGCCCTTTACAGTAGTAAGACTATTACAGAAATAGCATGCAACCATTCTGAAAAATCCAGCATGGTAATAATGGCAGGGGTGGCATGGGCCATAACGCCTGGCGTTAACAGCCCAAAAACCACAAGTTTAAGGCTTCAGTGTGGTTGTGTCAGTCCCCAAAATCCATGATTTCTGCTAAATACCTTATCTGAGAAAGACAAAGTAAGGTCCAAAGGAAACAGACCTCAACTCTGAAAATAAGCAATCACAGATGTGTTCAGTACTGAGTCTTATGGGGATAAGTGGAACATGATCACAAAATTGTGGGTTTTAAATTGATACAGGAACAGGTCAATGTGGAGTCTCTAAAATGATTTGAGATTTTAAGGACTAAACCTCTTTGCTGTTCAAGTACCATATTTTCTTCATATAACTGCACCTTCCTTTCTCTCTACCCCCCACAAAACCGCATGGTGGAAATTGGGGTGTACATTATATGCAGGAAGTAAGTATCACTACAGGTCCAGAAATTTGGCAGCAGTGTTAACTGCCAGGATTCTGCTAACTACAGCAATTAACACTGCCACCATTTCCCCACTGCCAAGTTTTCAGAATGGGGAGAGGGGAGACCCCCAGCCAGATGATGTCGCTTCACAAGCTGGATTGGGCCAGCGTATAGGGTCAGTCCATGGCCAAGCCCAGCATGCAGTCCCAGACCCAGCACCTGGCCCGTGACCCAGTTTTTAGGGTCAGACTTGGCAAAGACCTCATGCACAGGGGTGACCTGTCAGGTGGCCCCAGAACCAGTGTGCAGCCTCAGAGTTGTTCTGTGGGCCATGTTTGGCATGTAGGGCTGGCAGCAGGTTTGGCTCCCTAGCTGCTGCTACTCCCATACCATAAAGCAGTGGTTCGCAATCTGTGGTCCACATATCTGTTGGGGTCCACAGACTATGTGTAAGAAGCCCATGAAGATAACTGTGATCAGTGTGAAAACTCACACTTACAATTCAAAGGGGTCCACACCTCCATTCAAAATTGTAGGGGTCCACAAATGAAACAAAGTTGAAAGTCACTGCCATAAAGGAGGACTTTTTTCAGGATGCCCTTAAAAAACAAGGTGCATGCTATATATGGGTATAACAAGCCTCGTGTATCTGCCATCCCAGCACCAGGTCCAACCCACCTGCCATCTCTCCTTACTGCTAGGTCCAGCTCACACCTGGGGGGGGTCTATGCTTCCCTTAGGGTGCTTCCCCTTTAGGGAAACACCCCACAGGCCTGCAAGCACTTGTCCCAAGAGCTTCATCTATCCCAGCCTTAGCTCATTTTTTTCTTTGGCCAAGCCCTCAGCCCTTGTTTACTGCCTGAGACCTCAGCTCCTGCACTTTGGTCCCAAGTAGACTGCAGACCCTCTTGGGATGCATTTCACTTGACCAGCCTCAGCCTCCTCAGCTTTGGTCTAGCTCCTGTCCTTAGCGAGTGTCCAAACACCCCAACTGTGGTCTCCTTCTCCCCTGTAGCCACAACCTGGTCATCCAGTCAAAGTCAAACAAAAAATCCCATCCTAACTAGCCCCGATACAAATGCAAATCCCTCTAGTTCACCAGGTATCTCTTCTGGGCTGGCTTGACTCCAAGCTGCAGCCAACTCTACTAGGAGCTCTGTACCCTGCAGCACTCAGAGCCAGACTGCCCTCTTCATGGCCACAGGCTGGTCTATATGCCCCAAGCCCAGCTATCTTCTGGTCATGTGATCCTGTCTCCCGCTCCCAGGGCCCAAGTGCTGTTAAATCCGCCATTAGCAGCCTTCCCTTTTCTAGCCACTGGCTCAGTTCACCAGAGCAGTTTCTACCTGCTGCCACTTTGCCCTCAGGCACCCTGCAACCTGCCTGTGGGTACAGTCACCCCATCCCTTCCTAGAGGCAGGGGCAGGGGCAGGGGTAGCAGTAGCTGTAGTTGTTCTCTGTTACAATAGGAGTGTGCTGTATACAGTAAAATATGGTATTCAGTTATTAACATAGCATTACTAGAATTTCAGGTGGTAGAATTTGACTCTCAAACTGTGAGCATGCCAGCTGTGATAAGCTTGAATTTCATTGAATTTCATGAAAAAGTCAATATGGTAAAGAAAAAAACAAAAGGTAACTGTGATATATTTACAAAATACAAAGATGTATGTGAAAGCCTAGAGTGCTTGTCAGGTAACAAAACAATAAAGCTAAAAAAATAATGATTACTACCTCTAAATCACATGTCTCATAAAAGTCCCTGGCATTAACAGAAAAACAGTGAAGAAAGAGCTGCAATATTATAACAGAAGTGCAAGAACTATAGAGTGAGTCAATTCTATAGTGATCACAGACAAACCTGGGAGAGGTGAAATAAGAACATGCTTATAGAGGCTGGAACAAAGCATAAACAAAACAATAAAGAGGGAACAGTTTCAATTGCCTACACTGGAAGAAATCACTAGTAACTTAGCAAAGGCTACAGTTTCACTCTTTTAGATGCCTAGAGTGCACTTTGGCAAGTGCAGCTGGATGACAAAAGTCCTAGGCATTGTACTTTCAAGACACCATGTGGCAGGTACATATTTACCTGACTTCATTTAGTACTCTGTTCAGTTCCAGAAATACAAAAAGTGATAGGACACTTAGAAGCTCTGGAAGTTGATGTACATTCTCTATAGATGATATTTAGATGTGGGGAAATACCAGAAAAGACCATGGTGAGAGGCTCAGGTGAGTTTTAGACTAACACAACTATGCCCAAATAGAAAAAGAAATGCTAGCACATTTGTTGAATATACTTGATTTCATTAGTATATTAGGCTCTGGGTTCCTAGTCCTGCCACAGTCTGTCTAACAGATCTCCAATATGTCACCTGTGGCATAAATTTTGCAGAATAACTACTAAGTCTAGTAATTTTGGATGCCTTATTTTGGGGAAGTTCAATATGATGTTCCATTAATCTGATTTTCAGAGGTGTTGAGCGTCCACAGATCCCATTAACTTCAACTGGTGGTTTGAGGCCTTATTATGTAATTCAAATGTTATATAATAAAGAAAAATCCAATGGGGTTGCTTCTTTGAATTCAACAATATCAGCTCCTAAATCAGGCTGAAAAGTCCACTTGTACCTCATGAAAGGAAGCAAGATTGTAACTAAAGGGTTTGAGGGTTTACCTTTCCTTCTAAGCTCAGGCATGCCTTAGACCCCCTTTATCTCTCATATGTGACAAGATTGCCATTGCTTCCTAATCTACCATTGAAGCCAATCTTTATTGCTGATAATCGAATATAGCCCACGCTTGCTTCACTGCTACCCCCATAAGACACTGCAAAGCTATCAAATCCCTCTTTAAAATGTGTCTTTGCTATGATTTTGAGAAATAGCTTGACACTGGCTAGGCACCTTATATGGTATGACAGCTGCTTATTACATCAAGTGTAATCATCCAACTATAAACTTGATATTCCCCTTGGCTTATTGCTATATCCATCTGTAGCTTCTTATCATGCAACTGTTTGTAAGATCTTTGGGGCAGGGGCTGTCCATTTATTACAGGTGTGTATAGCACCTACAGTGAGGACATAATCCCTACTGGGATTTTTAGGTAATACCATGCAAATAGTAAACCCTGAAGATAAATGGTTTTACAGTCTGTTGCCTCTTGATTTGGCAGGACTAATCGGGAAAAGGAAGAGTGTGGAGAACGGCTTTCTAAGATTTCCTTTGGGATACAGCATTCGTGTCTGGCACTGGTGAATCATGAGATACAGACCCATAAAACTTTCCTGAGTCCTTTCATAGCCTCAGACTGCTATTTTGACAGTAACCCAGTACTGAATGTGGTAAGTCCTCAATGTCAGGCCAGTGTAATTTTCAGGCCCTGAATCTCTGGTTTTATTGGGTCACAAAATTTCATAAAATGGAAGTTATTTTCTGCTAGCGGCTTGGCCAGCTTGTCTGGCTGTGCACTCTGATGCCTGTAATAGGATGTTGTTTACTGATCACCTCAAAAGAGCTAGAGCATTTTGAAGAGATTCCTGACATTGCTTTGTGATAATTAAGCTGGCTTCTCCCTCTTTTTTTTGCTCCTGATGTAGCAGTCAGGCCTTGAGTGATAGGCTAGAAAGATAGCTGGAACAGTGACAGGAGTTCATTAGAAGAGTCAGTCAGTATCAGCAGATGTGGACGCAGGAAAGCTTAGAGCCCTTTGAAAAGAGCAGCAGCCGGTAAGTTCCAGTTGTCATGCGTGACTGAGCTGAGAGCTATTCAAATGCAACAAAACTACTCCAGTTTTAGTACTGCTTCATCTAGGGTTAAAGCTGAAGCAGGTCTGCTGCATTTGAATCATTCTCAGCACATTGGTTTGTGTAACTGAAACGTACTAACTGCTGCCCTTTCGACACTTCCCTTTTGAAAGGACTCCAAGTGTTTGTGTGTCCACAACCTTGTAGGGTGTGTGCTGTTTTACTAAGCACACACTGAAATCATTCTGTGTTAAAAACGCATTATGGCCAGTCTAAAGTGATCATACACTGAGTACTGAGGGGCAGGTATTGAAAGCTGTGCATATCTGCTCTATTAAGCAAAAGGTTGATGTTAGCATCTAGTTGTGCTAGGTGCTGTACAATCAGAATAAAATTGAAATTCTTGTCTTAATGAGCTTCAATTCCAGCAAGAATCCTATACATAAATAATAGCAAAAAGCCTTCCTGTGTCTTCTGTGTTAATGTTAGTGTGACGTTGTAGTCATGCTGGTCCAGGAATTATGTGAGAGGCAAGGATTTCTTAGGGTGATATCTTCTATTTGTCCAACTGCATAGTTGGGATGGAGTTAGACAAACTTTCAAATGCAAGACATTCTTCATCCGGTCAGCTGATGAAGAATGTCTTGCATTCAAAAGCATATCTAACTCTAGCCCATATAAGCTGTTGGGTCAATAAAAGATATCACCCTAAGAGCTCCTTACCTTTGTCATCCACCATTTGTCATCTTTTGTATTTGAGCTGTGTAATCTTTGAGGCAGTTACTGTCTCTCAGTGGGTGTATCTAAATGTGTCTCTAACGAGACACTAAATGTACAGTAGACTAATTCTGCTGTGTGTTAGCACAGCAGGCAAAAACCATGCTAATGCATAGTTGAATTAGTCTACTGTGCATTAACATCACAAAAAAGTGTGTGCAGGTGCTATTGTGCAGTAGCACTGATTACAGCGCATTAAGTTAGTACCTGTTATTACAGGTACTAAACTTAATGTACCATAATTATGGCACATTAATGAACATGTAGACATGCCCACTATATTTCTGTGCTGCACGCAGCATAATAGACCCTGATTTTGGCTGCTGTCACAATAATACTATGAGGTTTGATCAAAACATGACTTTTTGTGCTGTACTGCATTATGATATCTGTGGTCTGCAAAAATGCTGAACACAGCTTCATTGCTGAACAATTGTTTTATCCAGTTCCACTGCAGCTCTAGTACTCTAGCAGAGCCTGGGAAGCCCTGAGAACTTAAGGCCAGCAGTCTCCATGCAGTACATGCTCACAAGTCCCTGAGGGCTTGCTGCTACTTTAGCAGGAAGACTCCCTATTTAAACCAACCATGTCCTGATCATCCTTTTCTCTAGTAATCTAGAAGCAAACTTCAAGGATGGGATGCCCAGATTTCAGCTGAACACCTTTAAAGGAACATTTGCCTCTGCAAAAGCAGCCAGTGACTGTCCTTCAAAGGCCTCACTCTTTCCCTTTGCCTCATCTCCTCTTGAGGTGATGCTTTTCTTAGCGTTCCACTGTGCCCATTTTCTGCATAGCAGACTCAGCCTCTATCACATGTATAACTCCCCTGTTATTACGTGTGCCCAAGTTATCTGAAAAGCAGGAAGTCATTACACTTCCTCTCCTCTATAGAACATATCCCAAAACTCCAAAAATACCAAAACAGCTTCCCTTCATGGCTCCATCTTACTAGAACTAAGCAACCCTCTCTCCTGCTCTCTCAATGAATTTGATGGGCTTTGGATGAGACCCCATATTCTAGCATGCCCTGCCATGGTGCAAGCCGTTCTTTCATTAAGCCAGCTCTGAATGGCTGTACACAGAGCTCTCCCTGTCTCTCCATTCTGCCCCTGTCTCCACCAGGAGCATGCTGTTCCTGCACTGAAGAGAGCAAGCACAGATGCTAGCCAAACACTCTTCACTGGGACCCTGCCCTATCCCTTGATGCACAACACCCAAAGAAAATGTACTGGTACATTAGGGTCAAGAAAGAATGTGAGAGGAGAGTGTGTTGTACTGAGCCCCTATCCTTCTCCCTTCTTTGGACCTTGTTACATGTTGCACTTTGAGCTGTTCAAATGTTGATCAGTGTTGGTGTAGCTCAAGTTTGGAGTTGTCACATCTTAAGGTAAAAACCTTCTTGGACTGTCCCCCACTTGCACAGCTGTGGCACAGCTGTGACTTGCCACTAGAGGGCTGGCAAGAAGGGGCTTGACCAAGAGGTGTAGCTGTGAGTTGCCATTAGACAGCTGATGCCCCAAGACAGGCTTCTATCCTTGCTCTAGATGATGATGTGTGATAGATGGGTTGAGGGGAAAGGAACATGAAGCTGGGATAGGGATAAGTAATGACATGGGGGGTGGACAAGAAATGGGGGTGGGGAAAGGGTAGCGGAAGGGAAGAAGTCCGGCCACTGAAGGATAAAGTAAAACTTAAAAAAATAAAAAAGAAATAAAGACAAAGTAAATGAAAGAAGGTCACTTGCTTTAATAATTTGGGATTGGGGTATGGTGGGTGCTGGTCATGCTTCCTGAGGAGGCTGGGCCATGGGAGCAATGAGGGAAGGCTAAAGATTCAAAGAAGATGGAGCTACTCAACAGCTATTTTGCCTCAGTCTTCACAAAAAAAAATGAAGCAGCAGCCAGACACTTAATAAGGATTATCTGGATAAGGAAAGGGGCAAGCTGACAGAGCAGATAACAAAAGAGATAGAGAGCTTTTGTTGGGTCTGAACTCTTGATGGTCACCTTGCTGGGGTCATCTGACCCCAACTGTCTTTCCTGCCCAAGTGCAGGGGGAGCTGGACCTGATGATCTTGTAAGGTCCTTTCCAACCCCAACATCTATGAAACCATGAAGCTATTTCAAGTGAGCAGGGCAGGCTGAGCTTCATCTCAGTGTCCTGAAGAAATGGCAAAGATCTCAGGGTTCTTGGCAATAATATTCATGAAGTTGTGGGAGATGGGCCAGGTACCAGAGGGCTGGTAAAGGACCAGTGTAATGGCCCTCTTTAAAAAACACAAGGAGGATCCAGGGAACTACACACCAGTTAGCCTCACCTCCGTATCTGGGAAATTACTGGAGCAGATCCTAAGGAAGGCTACTTGTAAGCATCTGGAGGAGGGAAAGCTGGTCACAAGCAGCCAGAATGAATTTATGAAAAACAGATCATGTCAAACAAACCTGATCTCCTTCCTTGACAAAGTGACTACTTGGGAGGATGATGGCAATACTATGGATATAGTGTATTTAGACTTCAGCAAGGCTTTTGACAAGGTCCCACATGACCTTCTCATAAACAAATTGGAGAAACATGGGCTAAATAAAACTACTATAAGGTGGATAGATAGCTGGCTCAATAGCCGCAAGCAAAGGGTAATTATTAATGGGTCCAAGTCAAAATGGCAGGAGGTTTCAAGTAGAGTCCCACAGGGGTCTGTACCCTGCCTGGTGCTGTTCATGTTTATTTACAATCTGGATGCTGGCATAGAAATCTTCTTGAGCAAGTTTGCAGATAACGTGAAACTGGGAAGGACTGTGAATACAGAGGATGTGAGTGCAATTCAGATGGCTCTCAACAGATTGGAAAGTTGGGCTAGAGTCAACAGGATGAAGTTCAGTACAGAGAAATGCAATGTGCCACACCTCAGGAGGAATAATCAAAAACACAAATACAAAACAGGTGATACCTGACTGGATGACAGCTCTGTGGAAAAGGACTTATCTACCCTCCCCCCTAGACCCAACTCCTGACCCATCCATGCACTATGACCTAGCTAGTTGGCATATGCTGTGCGCACAGTTTGCACAGGGTTTCACCATGGGGGTGGAAAGGTAACACCCCCCAGGGGTGAGAAGGAAAGTTGGCTTGGTGCCAGAATCTCACCCTTCCTGCCTGGGCAGTAGATTTCAGATGTTAATGTATGGATAATCCATGAGTTAAAAGCTCCTGGAACTACCTAAAATTAATGTGTAACAAGGCCCTGGAGCAGAACACTGGGCTTTGCACTGACTGCCAGGAGAATGTACCCTATACTGAGTCACTCATTGCACTTCCTGCAGCATAGCATTCCCTGCTACTGCTTGGCACACTGAACTTAGGAAGGACTTCCAGAGGAGCACACCCATGACCAAGACACCTACATCATTCCCTGCTGATTCTCATTGGTTTGAAGTGGTAGGCAGTCACTAAAAGGGGGTGGTGTTTGGCTACAAGATCTCTGTGTTAGGTAGACTCGTGATATATGAATATGGGCCTCTGAACAGTGTTTGTGATTGTCAAGAGAGCTTCTTTATTTGCTATTCTGGTTTGTGTATTGCATATGAATCTGAGTGCTGCAATCAATGCCTTCTCTGCTATTTCCAGTATTGACAGAGATCTGATTGTAACTGTTTTGTTTTTGGAGGAGTCATTGCACAAAGCTAGTGACTACCTGTAGTCATGTTTTTCACAAAGAATTAGGTTGCTAGCCCCAGAGTGCTGCTCAAATTTCATTCCAGGCAATACATTCTACTCACCTAGCATTCCCTTGCAGCCTCAGCTGGGGAAGTTACCTTTAATTCTCTTCCTATGGTATGTTATAAGTGGTATAGGTCTATTTGTCTGCATTTCAAAGGTGGCTGCATTTTAGTGGTGACTAGAATGGTATTGGGGCAGATCAGTGTTTCAGTTCCCTGGTCACTACTAGGGTATAAAAATTATGCTCAGAATCTATGCTAATAATATAACAAATATAGCCCTCTGGATTAGATAAAATGTCTTTGAAGTGTGAAACAAATGTAACCTACACAGTACTGTCTGGTGGAGTCTCAATGGCCTGAAACAGGAGTTTTGAGAAAAAAGTGAACATCTAGACAAATACATCATGCTTTCTATAAGCTTCCCTCCCCTCCCTTAGCATCACATTTGAGTGCCTCACTGTGTATCTAAACATCTCTATTTATCACAGTGGAGTATTGATTCTGCAGACTAACGGTGAAAGATAGCTCCGTCATTGCTGAATGAAACGCATCAGG